GTCCAGTACCACCAGCTTTTACCAAAAAAATGAATTTTTTTTGTTTTAATTTCAAATCAACCAAAATTTGGCATGAACACTTACATTCAAAGGAATAAAAAATTTGCATCTCTTCCATACCAACTTATATTATTATTATATGATAATTACGATGTGTCTAAATTATAACATAGCCTAGCTCCATAAACATAACGTTATAACATAATATATGGCTCTTACTGTGTGGGGCAGCTCTGCTCTTCCACCGCCTCCATGGCGCACTGCAGTGACCTCTGGAGAGATAAAAGCTGACTTGACGTCTCTCTTAACATGAACCTGGTGACAAACTGGCCCAGCACACTGGCACCCTCGTACTCCTTGAACCAGAGAGGGGGCACAAATTAAAAAAGCCGTCTGCAAGTGCCCAAAATAAACTTTTATTGATCTTCTATCTTTATTTACAATCAAAACATCTGAAATGGAGGCAGAAACCAAACAGAAGAAGTGAAAAATTGCAGCCCCTACTGAGACGAGGACAAAGTCGTCCATAAACATGTCACATGCTCGTTAACCTTGTTTACTCACAGATATTTATTTTTCAGAGCAGTATGGCCGACAACCACTCATTGTGTTAATGATGGTACAGCGCTCTTGCTCCAAATTGATAATGAGTAGCCTCTAACTCTAAAGGCTTCTGGGGATTCACGGCCCAGATCACTCTGTGACAGACTCCAGCTTTTAACTAGCCAATCCAGCTGGGCTTTCTTCACTAACAGCTGTGAAGCGACTGAACAGGGGAGCGAGGTGATCCAATTAAGACACCGCTCATATTTATTCAGGACTGGTTGATTTGCATCAAGAACGGTTTCTGTCTTGTCTATTAAAATTCAAACCGCTGATTCAAAGTTGTGTTTTTCAAAGAATGTACCTGATGAAAACAGTTTGGATTAAAAAAAATAAAAAATGAGGCTTCACAAAGTGGTCAGATTAAAAAAAAACCCTTGACTGTGTTGATCTGACACAAATTTAAACAAGGTCAGAGACAAATTATGCAAAATATACAAAACATAATTATTCAGTCTAGTGCAATCGCCAGGTGTTCAATATTTATCCAAAACTATAAGCCACTGTATAATAAAACAAGATGCAGGAATTTAGATGCAAAGGTTGACGCCAGAGTTTAATCTTTCTTTGTGGAGCATTACATGTCTCTGTGTGCTCTACTTAAATCTCTTGTTTGCATTTTTCTTTGGAACAAACATCAGAGTGTTCCTTCAGAATAGAAGCTGAATGTCCATTCTATTCAGGTTATTACAAATGACCATGACATCCTGAATAAGCAGACCAACTCCCTGCAGCTGTGCTGGTTCCAGCCCTTTGTTTGTGAGAGTGTGTGCAGGTACACACCTGAACTACATTGTTAATTAGGGCTCACTGCTTAAAACCTCAGTGAGAGCACCCACCGTTTCTTCCATGTGACTTTTTTTTCTTGTGATGCACTACTCTAGAAGACAATGACATTGACTTCAACTTCAATTACATGCAGCAGCAGGGACTGTGGATTTTCACTTCCTGTTCATGTTTGCCTTAGCTCTTCTGCCATTCGACGTCACTCAAAGTTGCATTCTCAGGATTTCTCTTACCTCCTTGGTTTTATCCATTGCCTTTAAAATGGCGACATTCAGGCTCTCCAGTGATGAAAGGACACTGAGATATTCTCCAAGGTGCTGGGAAAAATAATCTAATAGCGGAAAAGAAACATGGCCTCAGCGTTGGCCGCTCATTTCATACCAATTAAAACTTTAGCGTTGTACTGATAGGCAAACAAACTTTTAATGATGACAGAGTGATATATATTTATGTCATAGACCTTTGTCACTTAATGCTTAAATGTGTGAGTGTTATATTACATGTAACTGTGGCTTCTAATATATAAGATATCATATATAAGATCCATCATGTCTGCGTATGCGCTGTTATTGCAGAGACTCTCCAGTATATAATCAAATGATAAACAAACCTCTCAGTATGGTGATTATATTTATGTTGCTACCAATGGCACGAAAATTAGAATAAGTCACTTGGCATTTAAATATAAATCAATGTATCAGGTTTGCAGATAAAATAATATTCAAAGACACAATTTAATTAAAACACACACACTACCCAGTCAGGCATCTCAAAGAATATTAAAAACATAATGTGATAAATGGCATTAAACACTCTCATCTGGGAATAATGTGTTGAGGCAGTAATTTTATAGTGTAATTGTGCTGCGAACACACTATCCACCAACCTGAAAGTTTGTCGGTTTCCAGATTACTGCAGGGAAAACAGGAAAAAGAACAAGCTAAATCAGGATTGGCATAAAATAAAATAAAATCTTAATTGTGCTGCACTTCACTGCATTTACCCAAGAGAATTACTCAGGCAATATTACTATTTTGCAAAAATTAGTTTGGAAAACCTTTTCTTAAAATTTGAGTTGCAGAGACGTATTTGTGGGTGGTCTATAGTCAGAATAACAAGATTACCCCAGGATAAGGGGGTACATGAGGGATCTGCTCTAAGTCCCTTCATGTTTCCAATATAATAAATAAAATAAAAATAAATGCTTAATAAATCTTTTTTTTTTTAGTCAATGCTCATTTGTTAAGTTGTTCTGCACTTTGAATTAATGTATTCAAATAATTGTCAGTCACTGACAAAATGCAGTTAATGTAAGTTACCTAGGAACACTTTTAACCAGATGTCACTTTCACAATTTGAGGTTGAAAATCTCTGACAGTTGATGTTTTATAAAAGGAATCCAAAAGCAATTCATCACTCAGATTAGTACTACATTTCCAATACCTGTAAATATACAGCTGTCATGGTTGGACAAAACACCACATAACACACTATAAACAACTATTAAGAAGATTCTTAAGTAGGAACATTTTCTCCAAACCGATAATCACTACACTTATACTGATTTTTTTTCTCCTTCTATTACTGAATACAATGGGTTTCTAAGAGGCTTTGTACTTTACTGTAAATGTGAGTTCCTTATCCATTGAGTTTGGCTGGAAAAGTAAATTTTGTCAAGATGACTTTTACAGCAGTTGGACAGCAATGTAAAATGTCAATAAAGACTGATTTTGTGAGGGTAAACAAAAACCCTACTTATTTTGTCGTCCATCAATGGAGTAAAAGAGCTCCTGCAGCTCCTCAGTTGTCAGGATCCCATCCGCAAAATAGGCATTGAACTCTTCAAAAGTCAGCTTGCCATCATCTGAAAGGAAATGTTAAAAAAAGATTCAGATTGTTCAAATGTGCTTTACTAGGAACATTGGTCTGTAAACTGTTGTATTCAAGAGGTGAGTTTACAAATTGGGCTAAAAATGCAGTTTTTAGAAACAAAACAGACTTCCCTACGTCATTTCACCAGGACGGAGCGTTCTACCAGTTAATTGTGAGCCCGGTTGCTCAGAAAATCTATACCAGAAGAATTCAGCTTGGTCATGGACTGATGAAAAGCACTTCTTCATGAGCCAATATCGTCAATCTGTCCACTGGCAACTGAAGCTGGATCAGCAGTTAGCGTTCCAACAAATGTATTGTGGATTTTTCCGTCCTCAGTGGAATCCAGTCAAAAAAAAATATGGTGTTTGTTGAGACTTACATTTTCTACCATGTCGAGTCACTGCAGTAAACTGACAGCAATAATAATAGCATTATTGCTGTAATATCTAAATCAATACTGAGCTGATCTAAACTGATCCTCAAAATTGACAGTAATTATTTTTGGTTTTAAGTTGCAAACATTATTTTTTTCACCAATGCAACTTGTCACACATTTGTATTTATTTTTTATTTTTTATATATACAAACGATTCATAATACATAAATACATCTTTAATGTATGGACCACATTGTCATCACAACACATCCTGGTCTGTGGTATCGAGGTCTGAACCAAATCCTTTAAATAATCACACTCTTCCTTCTGATGTCTGCTGTTTTTGTAAACTTGACCTTAAACTTAAACTATGATTGAGAGGCTCAAATCCTCACCAGGGAGGATTATTTTTTACTAAAGCCTAAGCCATTCTTTTCCTAATACAAAAAATGTCTGCTAATCATCTCCTTCAAATATGCTTGTACTCAGTTGGAGCTGTATTCTGACCTAGGGGTTGTCAGGTTCCTTTTGTGTGTCACTTTTCTTAAGTGCTGTGTTGCATTAACATGTGTTGACAGTTTTCTATTTTTATGTGCCATCTGAGTCAGACAGCAGCTCTGAGGTGACACATCAGTCTGATGATGACCACTGACAGGCCTTTCACTGACATTTCTGGGTTAAATGTCATTTTTTTTAAACAACATACAAGTGTAGCCTTCAGCCGGGGTTGGAGGGAAGAATCTGACTTAGCAAACCAAGGTCAAAGAGACCTGCACTTTGATTTAATTTTCATCTAAGTAACATCTGTGTTTCAGAGGATTACTCCTTGTTTAAATTTTTGATATGTGACGCATTGGTAATTTCACGGACTTAGTGAATGACCTTCAACCTTGAGGAGCCCAAATTTACAGTTTTGACATGAATTTTAAAATAAAATTAAAACTTCAGGTTGTGTCAGATTATGAGGCAGTAAAGATTACATGTAATTTAGTTACTACAGAGGCCAAAACCATTAAAACCACTGCATCAGCTTGTACTGTGCTGATGTACTGTGACAGAGACTGTCACACAGGTAACTCACATTATTGTGCCAGACCCTAAGAGAAATAAATCACACTGTTGTCATTGTTAATTTGCACAGTCAGTCAGAAAATAACAGAAAAAAAATGTATACAAAGAGCATACGGTGCCGATGATGTGTGCTGATTCAAAACAGCAACAAAAATAGAAGTAACAAAGTGAGAGCCGTCCAAAGTGCTTAGTTAAACAAAGTAAACTACAATGAGAAAAAAAGTAGGGCACAAAGTAGGCCACATTCTTATCTTCCAAAAAGGTTGGTCCCACTGCAGCCTCTCCAAGCTTTACAAAGTCCTACAAAAGCATCACCGCTTCAAAAGCTGCTTCTGCTATGGAGGCAATTTGGACCTTCAGCTTTTTCTGTGTAGTCTACTCAACCTTTTTTTTCTCTGATTCATTTTGTTCTACTCAGAGAGTTCTCCACCAACCCATCTGTGCAGACATCTGCGATACAAGTTCCTGTATAATAATTTAAGCCATTAATGCTGCTTCTATAGCTCACACTGCACTGCGTCTATATTTTCCATCTCACTAATAGTCTAAAGACGACTGGAGCATTTCTCTTAGGTTGGTTTCCAGTTGTCAGCTACGAAGACAGTTCATTAAATAGCTGAGGTTGGGAAGAGGAAATTGCCTCTGCTGCACTGACGTGGGATAACATTTAATGAAATGGAATCTGGAAGATATTGGGAAGTTTATTTATGCCACCAAAAGATGGCATATTTCAAAATACATTGTTAAGGCTTCAGGCTTCTGCTCACAACTATTACAACTTCAGACAATAGCATTAGTGCATGACCAATTAAGTTACAGACAAGCAGAGTATCATAGTTAATTAGTCTTAGTATTCTAACCACTAACTTCTAATAGGGAGTCTTGAAAAGAAGCTTGTGGTATATGTTTCTGAGGTGCTTTTTGTAACTGAACTCACAACAAAATAAACTTTGCTAATTAAACTTACGACATATAAACTACAAAATATGGAATGAAATTATGCAGCAGGTTTGCTTGGGCAAATGCTTTGACTTGAGCTCAATTTCGGTAGCGGCTCTTGACTTCTCACACCACATCAGCTCTGAGAATATTTTAATCTCATAGTATTACAAGTATTTCCAACATTAAAGTACCGAATCACAGGTTTGTACTGTGCCAGTCCAGTTCACAAAAAAGAGAATTCATTCCTTATTAGACAATTGGCCATTTTAACAGCCAGAGTCACTACAGTAGCACTAACTGGCCCACACACAGAGCATGACTGTACTATAACCACAGTATTGAACATCTCAATGACTCAGATGACCCTGAGTCCACCATCTACCACTACTGTATAACGAGCACAAGAAGCAGCTGTGGTAAGAATACCATTGTTGTAGAACTAGCACTTCAGTATCAACCTGGTTAGCAGTGGTTTTTCAAAGTGTGTGTGTACTTCCTGTTGGGGGCGACAGAGCACTTCAGGGGATGTACATAATTAGGACAAAGAAAAGCAGTTGCAAGATAACATCTAAACTTTTTTTTTTGGGGGGGGGGGGTCGTTGCGACTTAAAAACTAAAATAAAAGAATATGTGTGAGTTGTGTGGGGATTGAAGAGGGTTTCCTCTTTGGAGGGAGGCCAAGAATTTTTCGACTTTAAAAAC